CACTACACTACACTACACTACACTACACTACACTACACTACACTACACTACACTACACTACACTACACTACACTACACTACACTACACTACACTACACTACACTACACTACACTACACTACACAACATACTACACTTACTCTGAACTCCCCTGCAATTATGCGCTGTCCTATGCTGAAGGTTTCAGTATTGCCCAATGTCGCCACCCAGGCCACCAGTCTGCAATGGGCGCTACAATATGTCTCTACACTACTACACTACATCAAACGAGATTTCGACAATATAAATGTCTCGGTGAGAAAGGCATGCATACAATTATTCCAGTTCATCAGACTGATTTTTTCCAAAAATAAACGTCATTTATTTTTTTTGAGTTTAAAGTGCGTGGTGGAGCAAACGTTTCATAATGTTTACACTGGTATCAAATGTTTTAAATGTCGATATAGACATCCATTATCCAGATAGTCGACCACATGCACAAGATGAGTATGTTGATGCTTTACAATTATTTGTAACGGTTCTTGAGACGAGTTGTTCAAATATGGAACAAACCTGACCAAAGAAAAAATGATTGAATCCATTATTCCATCTATATAGTCATGTGCATGACATTGTACCACATTTATATTGACAGTTCCGGCATTTATATATCCAGAACCCAATGACAGTTGTGCTATTCAAGGTCAAGACATGTATTTGACATGTATAGCCTATGGAAAGCCAGACACAATAATTTACAAATGGTATAAAGATGGAGTCAGTCTTACTCAAGATGAATCTAAATACAGCATAATAGACGGGTCTCTTCTTATAAAAGATGTCACCCAGTTAGATGATGCTGAATACACATGCCAAGCTTTCAATTACATTAGAGAAGACGACGAAGCCACGGCTCAGCTCTATATCCATTGTGAGTATTAATGTGATCTCGAAAACACGGCTTTTTTATTGTAACTTTCTTTTCACTGGTTATCATTCCTTTTTTACATAGATCCACCTGTCGTTGAAACAGAAGATAAATTGTTCGTTAGAGAATTTCAATCTCTCTACTTAATATGTGTTCTTACCGACGGTGAGCCATTACCTAGCACAGAGGCAGTGAAATGGAAAGAGCCAGATGATATGCTAGCCAATAGGGATAACCCATTAGAGTTAACAAATATTCAACGAAATCAAGCTGGTATTTACACTTGTGAAGTAAATAATACATTATGCATGGTAGAACAAGGTAAAGGATCATCGGAAACCATTATCATAGTTGAATGTAAGTTGATATTATGTGTATATATATGTTTGAATTTTGCCCGCCGATACCTACTGTTAGATCACTTCAATTAAAAACATATTACTTGGTACCTGATGACAATAATTAAGCTAAGGTAGCTAATATTTTATAAATAATTTACAACTTACCAGTATTATGTTTTATTTTGTCTTTTTCGAAGATGCACCAGATGTATATGTCCCACCAATATACTCCGTCATTATAGATCATAATATCACCGTGAAATGTTTTGTTGATGCTGTTCCAAATGAAG